CGCAGCTGCCGCCGTAGCCGCCGAATAAGAATAGAAGGAACCACCCTGTATCATTATACTGCAGGGTGGTTCCTCCACTGCGGCACTAACACCAGGCCCTGTAGAGATGGCAGAGGAGGAGCTGACATCGGCAAGCTCACCTTGTACTTGCTGCACACCGTACATCCCCTGTGAAACTCCCGTTTCAGTTTGATGATATTGTTGTTGTTGTTGCTGCTGCTGATGCAATGTCTGATGCTGTTGTTTATCCTTGTCACGACGGGGTGACCGACCCCGATCGCTAACTGACGTTGCGCTCCAATATCCCCACGCCATTTCGCGAGCAATTTAATCGTATTTATCTCGAGTGTCTTCTATCCTGGCTGTCTAATATCGTCCACCAACAATCGTACACCACTGGTTCCCGTCTTTTGCTCGCTATTACCCTCTATCTCCCACCCCAAGTTTTCCCTACTTTCCTTCCTACGGGTAGGTGCGCACACTCTCTTTCTCTCTCTCTCTGCCTCACTCTGTCTGGCTATCTTCTCCTAGACTCTCTTTCCTTCTTACTCCTTTACCGTTCTCTGTCCTCGTCTTTTACCGTAGCCCGACCTCTTGCAGGAAAACCCGGCTGAGAATGCGACGAGTCAGCGCGATCGATGCTGGTTTATCGCCACTTTTGCAACCTCTTCACTGACAACAGCGATTGTTAAAGGTATGCTGTCACAACCTCTCGACATAAATCACCGACCATTGAAACAGTCTATTGCAAACTTCTCCTCGGAATATTGTTATCGTATCAATATTTCAAGCTAATCAACGTACTATTTCTTTTTTCCTTCGATTTATATTTCCTTTTCTTCGATTTATATTTCTCTTTTCTTTGTTTCGTGTTTTTATTTTATTTCTCGTTTCCTTTTTTTTATTATTATTATTATTATTATTGTTTTATTTTTTCTTTAATTAGATATTTCATTAATTATATTCTCACGTCTAAATGTTTTAACAGTCGGTTTGAATATACTTGCGCGAGAAAACTTCGTGGCTAATCAGTTCGCGTAAGAATATCGACTGCTGCCGCGGGATTCGTTAACTACCGCCGCCGCCCGACGCGCTTTACTCCATGAAATGCGCAAACGCTAAAATAAAGGCACACTCTAAAAAACAGAACTGATTTCTCTTTGACAAACTATCCGATTTTTCTCCTTTCTTTTCTATTCGTTTCCTGTACTTCTTCTCTTTTCATTTTCAAACTTTTTCATCAATAATCTCAATAATCACTTGTTATCTTTTCTTTTTTAGCTTTATTCTTCATATTCTCTTTCATTTTCGTCTTCTTATTGTTTCTTTTTTATTGCATTTATTTTCTTTATTTATCACTTTTGTCACTTTTGTCACTTTTTATATCATTTTACTATTTTCTTTATTTTAATAAATATTATTTTTTTCCATAAGTTTAATAATTTTTTTTTTTGTACTTTATTGGTATTTTAAATTATTTTTTTCAATATTTGTAATATTTGTAATAAAATTAAGTATTTTTTATATAATATGAAAGATAATTATTAAATACAAACAATTATATGTACAGAATGAATTTACATAAAAGAAATATTATTTTCGAATTATAATAACATTTTTTGTTTATTATGAAAGCATTTATAATCATTTATAAAATTTCGATGATAAAAGAAAATAGTACAAAAATAAATAATATATTTAGTCAAATTAGTCATTTAAATTAAATTAAACTCACAATTATGTAATTGCAATATAATATGCAATAATGTGTAATGGTTTAGAAAACACACAAATTATGAACAGATAATTCTTTATGAAAAAAATTATAAAATATATAGAATAGAAAGATGTTATTAATATAATGTTAATTATATATATTAATATATATAATGAATATTAATATGCAAATAATAATTTCTTAATTTTACGAAAATCAATTTTTATATATAAATAAAAAATTGGTATCTATATA